CCCCCCCCATGCATTATGAACGCAGCCTAATTTGTACAAAATTAATTTGTCAGTTAACTTTTTCATGGACATAAGGTATGCACTATATCAGAATAACTAAAGTTAGCTTACCAATTTTTGCATGCATGTTCTATGTTCTTCATTAGAAATTATGAGGTATCATAGAGTGCAAACAATATATTCGTTAAACACTAATTACTAAATTGTTCAAAAAAGTGATAGTTAAACTAAAGAAAACAATAGAATTAGCATAAATTAGCATTAGCATGGTGTAAGTTAGTATTACTAATATTTCATGGATATATTGTTTGCAATCTATATATAAATACATAATATTTGTGTACAAGTATGTTAAGATTATATCAGAAATAATGGGATATCATCCCTGGTATTTTTTTCAAGTTGTCAGAGACAATATCCAATAATTAATGATACAGTTTTGATATACTTGTTGTTATTTTTATCCAAATCTTTTTAAAAACAGGTATATATATATAACTATTTACATTGCTAGGCCCGTAAAAAGGTTGAACACATTATCATAATTTATCAAGACTGAGGCTGCGTTAAAACAGCTGTGGTCTTGATAAGTAACAATATAATGTGAAAACCAAAGTTGTTTTAAAATAGTCTTATTAAGATTATTTCAAACTAAACATAAAAATTTATTATCTATTATGCTTTCTCATGGCACACCATGAAATGTATTTCCTCTATGGAATACTTATGTGTATAAAACACAAGTGCCTTATGGGATATTCCAAGGTAAGCCACTCGAAACTATTTCAAAATTAGTATTTATCTATTATTGGTTGTCTAATATTTGTTTAGGGGTTAAAGATTGAAGTGAAAAAATTATGAACAAGACTATCTAAATTATTGACTTTTCAGTCTCAAAAGTAGTCAAGAATATTTGACTTTGCACTAGCATAGGTTACTACTATATACTGATTTAAACTAATTTATAAGTTATGAGTTTTCATTAGAATGACTGGTACTCATTTAATATGTATATATCATTATATACATTAGTGTGTGTATAATGTATATATTTTCACTCACAAAAGTATGTAGTCAAGACTAATCAACAACTTTACACTAGGTTGTGCCCCTTCTTTCCCTCTTCCC